GCCCTCCTCCCGGCGGGTAGAAAAACCTAAATTGTGGGGGAGAAAATAAAAACTATGTATTTTGCACATATTAGTAGACTAAAATTGGTTTAAAAATCCTTTGAAATCCCAAAAATGTCAAAATTTTTTAAGGCTTTGCCCCAGCTGGACCATCTTCAAAACATTTTAAGTGCCGCTCGACTATACCCACTTTGCTCTCGGGAAGATATCTCCCTCGTCATGGACATCGCCTCCATCTCTTCTCCATCGGGGACCTCGCCCCCCCCCCCTCGCCGTTGGGCAAATCCTGCCGACACCCCTGCAAGAATGGCTATTTCTGAGTGTAGCTCACTTTATCTAGTGGCATAGAGTATTGACATGAGGAGGGGGAGACTAATGGGGATAATGGAAGGCACGAACAGTGGCTGGGGTCCAGGGGGCCGCCAAGTTCGGGGTCCTGGGGCCAAAGGCCCTTGACGATTTTTCTTAAATGGCATATCTAATCGATGTTAGTGAGCTTATAATGATTTCAGTTTTTAAATATTCAGATTTCAATTTTCATATTTGGGCATCATTTGAAGTCTTAATTTACATTGCAAATATATCGTAGTGTTTAGTAGAATACCACCACGTTAACGCCTCATTAACCCTGAAATTTGCCATCTGATCTGTTGCCTCTACCGGACAGATTATTTGTTTCGTTTATTTGTCCTTTTTCTGTCTGGCATTTCTAGTACTTTAAAGGGAGGGGGAGGGAAATTTGCATGCCTTCCCTTTTGAAAAAAAAAGCTTACATTTCCCAATTTTTCCCCTTCCCAATTGAAAATGTTTGAAGCCAAAAATTTATGCTCATGTAGTTAAAAATTACCTTATATCACCTGATTTTACGAAAACAATTGCCTATTGGTGGCAGTGGCGGCTCTAGCATATATTTTCTGAGGGGCTAAGTTGTCCGACAGGGGGACTTGAGCTCATAGGCTCGAGTTGGGAGAAGGGGTTGAGAGGAAGTTCCCCCTCCCAAATGAGATTTTTTTTAAGAATATCAAGATATCTAGATGGCCAAAAATAGCACTTTCAGACTGTGACAGACATGTGTTGGCTTGGTGTGGGCCTATTTTTATATATTTTATCGTCTAACTGCCCGACAAGCTCTGTTCGACGGGGGGGGGGGCTTGACCTGTCCGGTGGGGGACTTAAACCTCCCCTGCCACCCTGCTGGCGCTGCCACTGATTGGGGGTCTCCTTCCCTCATTTCAAGTCTCCTAGATATGCTGCTGACTGGACTGATAGTGAACTTCTATCCTATTAATATTTTTCAACTATTCAAATGCTTCCTTCAAAGACAATGCTACTAGCCTGCATCAAAAAACTATTAATAATGTCGTCCTTGCTGTTATTTTTGGTAACATTGTCATCGTCGTTATTAATCACGCTTACTCAGATTCTGATAATAAAAAAATTGATTAAGTTTCTTTTATTCATTAATTAAGTTGTAGTTGTATGAATCACACTGAATCAGATTTTGATCAATTGTAGACGATAAAAACTTGGTTTTTTGTTTGTTGTTCAAATTTCTTTTATTCTTTCATTTGAATTACTTTGCCTTCTATACATATTAGTGAGAATCTTTGGAGTATTATTTACTGATAGTATCTTAGTGTAAAGCATGTACCTTACTTTACCAGAAAACTACATCCTTACTAATATGCATAAATAACTTTTTATACATTTTTATTTTAAATTTTTGTTCATTTTCTGATAATAATCTACTTTATCAATTTACACTTTTAGGGTTTTATAATCAATAGCTTTTGGTTCCTAAGAAGATGCATACAGCAGGAAGCCTGAAAACGTGCAGTATGCATTTCCATCACTGTAGTAATAATTATGACTTGTTTATAAAGGTTCAGTCCACACTTCATCATTAGCTACTAAATCAAGGACTAACATATTACTGACTGATTTGACGCTGTTTCCGTTCTCGTATCCGCAGACAATGTGTTGTCCATTTTTCAAGAGGCAGGTGATAATGGTGCCAGAGGAGCTTGACCCTGATGTAAACTGGAAGACATAGGTACCTGGATGTTAACAGACAACCTTGCCTGTTTCTTTACTCTAGTGATTCCATACATTACTATTTATCATGGTATTTCATTGGACTAACTGGGTGACTTCCTGGATTTGTCTCAAATGCAACCAAGAATGCAGATTTTGGCCGGCTGTTTGTGGTAGACAGTATCTCAACAGTACCACTTGGTTCCATCTAATCCTTGGCTTCCATTCTCTCTTGTCACTCCAACTTCTCTTTTCAGGCCTACTGGAGGCATCATTTTACCTGGAATCTCATCTCTTACTAAACCTTGACTTTCCTTCTCTTTGGTCAGACCTGTATGCCCTGGAGCACTGGGTTACAAAGCTGTGAGGAATTTCTGCAGCAGCAGCTGGTTAGATAAGTTGCACGCCTGACTTCACTTCCTTTTTGTGAAATCCAACATATATCACTAATTTGACATTAATTGATTTTTTTTCTAGGCGAGCATACCCTTGTGTATTTATTGTATTAAATCCAAATGCTCCTCCCTAAACAATTAGAAAACATAACATGCATTTCTAGTCAGACATTTATTTTTCTATACTTACATTTGTTGAAACTCACTCAGCTCTGCCTATATATTGTATTGCTAGAATATGCATTGGGAATACAGTGCACCCTCCAGTATTTGTTTTCACTTACTCTCTTTTTGGGGACAATGTAAAATGCATCGTACTCTAAATCAAGCGCTCAGTGAATATGTACAGTGTGTAATAGATTTATTATTACTGTATTTCACTCACATGTTTTGAGAGGCTGAAGTCTTTACTACATTTTTATACCATAGGATTGAAAGTTGCAGTACAGAAGTTTCCAAATGGTTTGATTACTGGAACTTTGCCGGCATCTTGCAGAGTGTCACCTCTGGCAGCCAAATCCAAGAAGAAGGTCACACCACCACCACCACAAATTATCATGGCAACACAGAGTTACTTTACAGAGAACAATATCCTTTTAATTTGACTCGCGAGGCTGTGAGGTGCTGGGGCGGGTCCAAATATTTACAGGAGGGAGTGCAGAAAGAAGGGAACTCCTGTATAATAACATAAGTTTTAATGACTTGGGGAACCGTCTTCTGCCTTGAGAGACTTAATAGCCAATAATAGTACAGTATTAGTCTGAAAACTATTCTCATAAATGACACTTCCCCCTCCCCCACACCACCCTTAAAGAAGAAAAAAGCTGCTGTATATTTACCCAACATCTGTACACTTTTTTGTCAACTAAAAAGTATACTAATATGTTAAGGTNNNGGATGGGGGGGGGGGTGGGGGGAGAGCTCTGGAATACTGCTACGTCTTTAACTAATTTTAGAAACACCTTTGTAAATGAAGGTCAAATTACCTTTTAAATAATGAAGAACATGAGTCAATAATAATTTTGTTTATAGTATTGAAGCAGGTAAGATATAGAATATGGTAAAAATGGATTAAACAATACATTCTAAAATGTTGTGATGGATTTAGACTTCCTTGTAACATACTGACTTTTTTTTAGTGACTAATATGGTCACTTTATAATATATTTTATTCCATTATATTTATTTATTTATATATTTATTTACGCGTTTCTATCAACTGCACCTACTGAAGTGGTACCTTCCACTTATTGTACCTCTTACATTCTGAATACTGCTCTCTTCACTGTACTATAGTAACGTAATTTGAATAATGAATTCTCACTTGTGTTGCTTTTGTAGTGTGTAGTGTCCTCGTCCAATACTTTGTAGACTCGTGTTATTGTAAAATTATTTTTTGATGGTATGTTAATGGACATAAATAAATAGGAACTAATATAAGCCAAATGTAAGACATTTAAAAGAATGGTTAATGTTTTGTAAATATATTATAAAGATTGACAACACTGACAATAACCATTTTGACAGCTTAAAAAGGGATAATAACTAGATTTACAAGGCAAAAGACTACAGCATTAACACTACAGATATTCAACTGTTGAAACCTTAATTATATGATTCAGATCTTGATAAGTTACAGGTTGATCTGGAGGAGAATTTGGTACCCAACGATACTGGAAGTAAGTCAGGATTTATATATTTAAGTACATGAATATGTAAATGCAGGATTTAAATAAAATGGTAAATTACCAGTGTTAGTAATATGCTGTTCCAGTGACTATAATGATTGCAATGCTGAAACCAAAAATGTAAAAAATGTGGTTGCAACAGATTGAAACCTGGCGGGAGTGAAGAACTAATTAATTTTGTTAGATTTTTTTTTTTTACCCAGGATTATATGTATGTATACTTTCTTTAAGAAGCTAGTACAGTATGTATTTTCAAGTGTGTAGTTCAAGTAATAATGACTTGGCAATAGTGTAAACCATATCCTGTTTTTCCATACAATGATACATTTTTTTTGGTGTTGTGCTAAAAATATAATAATAAAAGATTCCAAGCAAATATCATTTTACACCTCACTGCAGCAACAAAGCTCTTGAATGTGTTTTGCATAATGTGATATTAGTTGAATACAAATCATTATATTAATTTATTTGTAATAATTAATTTATTTATAATTAGTGAATTATTTTAATCACTTTTTGATATCTGAGTTGTGCCAAAAATATATTGTAAAATGCAATTACCAATCTCAATGATTTACACCTCACTGCAGTAACCAAGCTCTTGAATATGTTTTTTATAATGTGATAGTTGGGAATAAGAGAAACAAAAGCATAATGTACTAATTTATATGTAATTATTGAATTATTTAATAATCACTTTTATTGTCTGTTGATAGGTCGTCTTTCTCGTGCAACTACACACGCAAGAAGTCAAGCATCAGTGCGATCTTCAACATCCAAATCCATGAACAGTGTCCAATCCCAGCCCTGGAAATGACACCTCTAAAACTCTATTAGATTCATTAACTGTTTAAATCGTATTTTATCTGTTGATGCTCTGATGCAGTTGAGCTGGTAACTGAATTATATTGGAAATAAATAAAAGTAGAATAATTTCCATAATTCTTTTTCCATAATTCTTATTTACTATATTTAATTTATAAATAGGCAGTGGACAATTTTCAAGTAGGATTCATTTACTTACTTGGAATTTTTATGATGATTAGAGGGAGCACTCAAACTCTAACCTTAAAAATATGCAAATATGCAGTTTGTTCTTATTCATTTTTAAGACTTCGTCAAAAAAGCAAAATCTCACCTGTGCAGTTATTTGTGGGAGTCAACACAGAAGTCATATTTTGGGTTTTATATTTTCCACTGCCTAACTTGTATTTATTACGGTAAAAGTGACACAGTATTCCATAAGTAACCCATACTCTCTAATTGTAACCCACCCTAAAAACCAAACAAATGAATACAGTAAGTAGTCTCAATGTTTTTCAATTTTTTTAAAATTCTTTTTTATCTTACAAATAAAATGAGGTTATAACTGCATTAAAACACATTTATAAATGTATTATAATTATTATGTTGTACATACAAATCTGGAATTTTTCATTTTGTTTGCAAAAGTGAAATGTTTCATGCTTACAATATTTTAAAAATATGTAATTCATACATAATTACAAAAATAATCTTTAATTATATTATTGTATTTTCTGAAACCAAAGCATTTTTATTTCATAGGGTAGATAATTTTGTAAAATCCTGTCTTCAAACTTTGTCATAAATATACGATAGTTTTCTTACTTTTTTTTGCTTACAATTTTAGTAACACTGATAAATGCTCTTACTTTTTTGTATTGATATTCGTAAAATATGAAGATTTCTCTTTAAACTGATTAAAGTCACTGTTCATATTTTATTTGTTTTTCATGTTTTTTGTGATGAGAAAAGTGGTGATGGTAAAGTTATGATACAAAGATATCCATGATAATGATGATTAGTGATAAGGATATTGATATTCATGATAATGATGATGATGATTGTGATCATGGTGAGATCATCATCATCATCACCACCCATCAACCGTGGTCAGACAAACCACAGCATTGTATCAGCCATTGCTAGTGCAAGCTCCTCCGGTCTAATACCAGTATCTCTTGTTATTGTGTCAGGATAAGTTAGTAATCTACACCCTCTCTTTGAACATGACAATTTCAATAGCAGAACATCAAAAATCATCTGATCCAAGACCCTGCAGCAATGTATAGCGAAGCAGACGCATCTCTGATTGGTGGGATTCTTCCATAGATGTCTGATTTGGTTGGGTGGATTCTCCATTGTGAGGATATCACTTTGATAATGACAAGGATATGATGATGATATTATGATGATGTTTTTTTCTGATGAGAATTATGTGACGATGACTTCAATTTTGACGAGGATGGTGATGACATCAATTTTGACGAGAATGATAATACTGTAAAGGTAAAGATGAAGGGGAAGAATAACCAATAACTCGCACCGTTATTGTGCTGAATTGCTTGTGGGCGTGGTCATGATGTCGATATGACATTAATTTTGATGATCTATTTTGTTGATGATGATATTAATATTAAATTTGATGATTTTAATTTTGATGATGTCAAAGTTATTTATTATTTTTTAGGCTGTATGCACTTTAATACTAATTTTCCGATTTTTCAAAGTAGTACAGTGACTAGAAATATATATACAATATGATTTCAATAATAATACAAAAATATAGGGAAGAATCATTGATGTAAAACATTACTTTAAATGATTTTGTAATGAAAATTGGAATGAATTTTGATGGTGATAGCATCAATTTTGATGATGCAGGTAATGTTGATGATGATATTGATAATGCCGATGCTTTTATACCATACCAAATGAATAAAAGGTTAAAAAATACAAATATAAAAAAATAAAATAAAAATTTAAAAAAAATGTTTGAGAGGAAATCACAAAGGATTTGTACAGGTGAACTTTCTACGTTTATTCTGTCCGGTTTAATGAATATCCAAACTAAATTGTGTCATCTGAATATAAGGATGATGATTACATCAATTTAGATGATCTGTTTTTGTTATTGATAACATCAATTTCAATGATGTGGATTTTAATGATGATGTTGGTTTTGATGATGATATGAAATGAACTTCCGAAACTAAAATGAGTCAATTGAATGGAATTTGAAAAGAAAAAGATAAATTTGTTTGAATCTTCTGGGGAAAAATGTATCATGGTACTAAATCTAAACATTTTCATTAATACCATAAGTAGTCATGTACTAATTGTTATTGTTATTGTTTTCAGTAAAATTGATTTGTTACAGGATTTAGGTTATGAAGCAGATAAAATGAATTAAACAAAGACTATTAAAAATGTTGAACAAGCTTAAAACTGTCCTTACAGGCTACTAGACTTAAGAGATATAGATGCATACGACCAGTGTCATATTATAACAGGTAAATGTAAATTATCTTGTGTTGCTTCACTAAATAAATTCTAGCTTATGTATCCTTTTTAATTTCCTGATACCAACTCTAAAACCAGCTCTAGGAAAGTTTTAAAAATAAATAAGTGCATTAGCGCTTGATATGCAGCTAAAAAATTAGCGAAATTTCTCAAAGTGGGAGAATTACTGATAGGTTATTCTTATGTTGCTGTCGAGAACTGACTTGTGTAATTCTATGTACATCAATCATTGTTGCATTTTTATTTTTTATATTTAAATAAACAAACAATGTAATAATGCATTTTATTAATTTTAATATACAATGTAAGTTTATTACGCTGTTTTTGTTAAAATTGTCATTCTGTCATTGTTGTTTTTGTCACTGTAATAATTTTGTCTCTGGTCCAATCAGGTACCTTTCCTCAGACTGATTACATGTTCAAATTGGTCTTATCCCGGCGTTGATGCTTAGTTACGCCATTTAACCTGATTGGACCAGAAACGTCACTGAGGTAATATTTATCATTATTATTATCTCTGTTGGTTCTAATAAAAATGAAAAAATAATCTAGCTATATTTTACAGAACCAGATGAAATTTTTCAATGATATTTACTGTAATTGTTACTATTGTTCTTAACAGTGAAGTTTAGTATAATCAACCAGAGAAGATGATTGTGATGCACGATTACAAAGGTTTTGACAGTTCGTTCTGGTGGTAAGTTCTCATTTGTTTTAAAGGTTTCGTATTAAGATATGGGACGTCATCCTGGCGGCCAGCCGATCTTGACCAGGGCTACTCATCTTCTTTGACGCTTTCATACGTAATAAACTTGTAATTTGAATGAGGAAAGCTTGCACAATGTTTAGGGTGCCTACATGGTTTGCGCAGGTATGGGTGAGGTGCTATTTAATAATACAGAACTCAGATGAAACAATCGTAGTTCTAGTGAAATATTGAGATTTTATTACAGGCAAGTGTCATAAACTAGCTGTACTTACTGTTGCATCAAGAGTACTTGGTGTACCTTGAGCTATACTTGTAGTGTTATATCATAAGCTATTGTAAAGAAATATCATATGCCTTATATCTCCTATTATACTACAATAATCTTTACACACAATAGTGTCAGGCCAGTCAAGGTAATTCAACAAAAGGACGCACATCTCCGCTCTCGAACATAGCGCGTGCATACAGTCCTTTGATCTTTACTGTGGCATCGACAATCCGATACTAGTTGCGAGTACAGCCGTCAATTATTAGTCTATGCGTGCCATTCGTTTTATGGTGTTAGTTTTTATTTTATTAATTTTGCGTACTTCGCAATGTCTGTTACATTTGATTTTTTTTTACCGCGAGCTTGTTAAATACTTCTATAAACTGCAATTTGATTTGTGAAAATTGACCAAGAAAATGAAAAGTTATAGCAATTCAAAATTTACGAATTTTATAAAAAATTAATGTTGAAATGAAGAATATATTTCAGTCTAATGTTAGTGCAAAATATCATTAGGCCTTTGTAATCACCGCACGACGCGCAACTAACACGCGCGTGGGTAAATCGTCACGTACGCTGACGGTTTATGGTCTGGTTGCTATGATTTTTGTGACGTTCAGCGTGTAGGGATGCACGTGCGCCTAGAATGTCGATGCCAGAGTTATAACCTTTGATGTCCCGAGATGTGCGTCCTTTTGTTGAATTACCTTGGGCCAGTATAGGTGGGTGTATGTTTTTTTAATCTTTCAACCAGAAATATTTACTTAAGAGATAAAGAGTTTATTGGAGAGATAGATGTGCCATATGGTATCTATACACAAACCAGAGTGCAGTTTTAAGAACAGAAGACAGAGACTCGGACCATGCAGGAACTGGTCCTGGAGTACGACAAGGCAGGTTAACGTAGAAAACCTATGTAATGTATATTTGTATATAGAACATATGATACATGAGGCAATGCATGGAGGAAACAGTTGGGACCAGCCCTAAAAAGTGAAAAAAGCCATTCCCATTAACGGTTCGTCATGTGGACAGTTAAAATCTTTTCTTAAATTTACACCAGTTAATCAGATATATTAGATCTACTTATACTACAAATTTCAGCTTTGGTACTCAGCTCCTTCATGGTTAGATACTATGTTGAAAACTACACATATCTGGGGAAAATTGTGTTTGCGCATCTTAAAGAGCCACGCCCCTTTTTTGGGGCATCAATATCTCGGAAAGTACATATCCATTAGGGCTAATCGTTTGTGTATGTAGATTTTTCACATAGTGGATCATCATATGAAGTTTCATGAAAATCCGAGACGGTCGACCTTTCACCTCTGGTTGATTTGACACGGAATTACCCTACTGTATTTATTAACCAGCGTGAAGTTGGCTACTTTCTATGTGGCACACTTCTGTTGTGAAGGTGTGTCTAAATTACCTCTATAGCTGGACGAATTGCGATTAGGGGCCTAGCATTCGTCACGGTGCACAAGCTGAGCTGACCTGAATCCTCCTTATCATTAGGTGGGCCGAGGTGAAGCATAATTAGGATGTTAAATTTATGCTGTGGTAATTAGCCAATCGGATATCAAAGTTGTTAAATACATAGTACACCACGAAATTCTGGTGGCTGCAATCGAAATCCTCACTGTTTGCCCAGTCCCTAATCCCAGAAAAAATATATACGCCATGCAAATGAGTAATATGGAATGCCAATGGTGCCAAATCGATTTATTCTTAAGCATTTTAACTGATTAAGACAGTTTAGGGACTGGAACCCAGTCTACAGGCCATCCAGAGGTACTATTTTCCCCAACTATGGTGGGGCTGAGGTAGTTCTGAAATCACTGCTTTGAAGTATGTAAAGTACATACTCAAAAACAATGGTTTTGAGCTTTAGTGTGTATGGTACATCACACATATTAATATGATCTCTATGTTTGCCGAAAATCCCTGATAAACGATCATGAGAAATTTTTTGGCACTTCATATGAGTATATATATTATGGTGATGTGATGATGATGAATTTTTTCTAAAATTGTCATCTGGAGGTAATATTCCCTCAAATTTTCGCAGCTCAGCCCCAACAATGGTGGGTCTGATGTGGGTGTCGACTCACGAAATGTCCCCCAACCTCCACCTTCACCTTTCAAAATAGATTGCGGCCTTCCTAGGTATGACATTAAACTCCATCGAGTCAACACCTGATTCAGAGTATGCCTTAGTGACTCTGATGATGCAAGAATGCATGGATTTGTTTTAGGATTTGATCTGGTTTTACATGCTATTTTTCGTTATTATGACTATTTTGGATAAAGAATGTTTTGAGCAGTGGTGTATCCCGTGGTGTATTTAAGGCCCCCTTCCCCCTAATTTTTTTAAAGGAAGAAAAAAATGTAGTCCCCCTATCCAAATTTAAGTCTGAGAGTGTAATTTCCGGCAATCTAGAGGTACCCTAATCATAAATTTTTTAAACTCAGCCCCAACCATGGTGGGGCTGAGGTGGGTGGTTCCTCAATCTGTTAAAAGTCCCTCCTTGGGTCACCTCTCTATTGCTGGATCCACCACTGTTGAGTTTTTTTTTTTATAATTTATTATTATTATAATATTATTTATGATGATATTTCACTTTATCATCTCAAAAGAACCCTAAAAAACTTCAGAGCATGTTACTTTCCAGGGGGCTTCACCACTGGACCCTCCCACCCACGGGGTCCTACGTACCTCGCATAACGGCTTCCCGCCTGCGAGCTATACATTCTACCAGATACCCAAATTAACAATAAAATTATAGGGGTGTCTAGAGAACTCAGATCTAGGAAACTCAGAACTTTGATCTCAGATCTAGAATACTCAGATATCTGAGTTTTCTACTATTATTTTTAGATGGAATTTTTTATCTATATCTAATTCCGATCTGGAATTTTAAGTACTGTACGTATACAAAGGGCAGGGGAAGTCCAGACCTCTCAGACAGCGGCATATCTAGGGGAGGACCCCAGTCAACCCTCATTAAAATTGTCAAAGCAAAAAAATCACACTCAAGTAGATAGCATTAGTAGCCCTTACTTAATCATCGAGCGCCCACTTCTCCTTTGCTCCATCCCCCATTTCAAGACTCCTAGATTTGCCACTGCCCTCAGAGGAGGTCCAGGGGAAAATTATTAGTAAACCTTGTGTATTTATAACTCCCTGTTTTTGTTATGAGTGGGGCTGAAATTGGAAAAAAGTTGAAATATTCTTCCACAATTTAGCTCCACCGGCCGCTGGTCAGATTAGAACTGGCCACTAGCTTAAAAAGGTTGAATACCCAGGATACTCCATTCAATTTTGATAGAAAATGATCAGACTATAGACAGAGACATATTGTATGTGTCATTAAGAGTATAGTTTTAACATTATTGACAACTATTTTAACCAAAGCAAGCACTTTATTTGCTGTGCAACAATTAATAAAATTGAAAAGAGCTGTACATTCTACCAGATACCCAAATGAACGATAAAATGTAGATGTATTACTCTAGCCGAGGACATACGTGACTGGGAATGCTATTGAAATTTAGTACTTGAATTATAAATAAGGCAAACGAATGAACCTTTCTTAGTTGTAATTATGTTTATAATACAGAGTCTTTCTTAAGCTTCCATAAATGTTTATGTAAATCATCTTATCTTTCAAAGTCAAATGCAATAAATGAGGGATCAACAACTTTGTTATTAAATTTTCTAACTCATATTTTGTAAATTGAGAACATTGCTCTGTTGAATGAGAGACATAACAGACATTTTGGGATTAACAAAGCCAAGCAATATCCTGCATTATTATGATAAGATCTATTGCCTTTCTTAATCATTTTGCTCTCCATTTTCTTATTAGGGCATCATCTGAAGTCTGCTTAATGTCATCCAATCGGATAAAAGTTATGTTGGAATGTACTGTAGTGTATTAAAGAATACCACCGCCAATATTGTTGACTCCTCCTCATTCAGTCACATGTTAAGTCACCAACAAAATATTGAATTTATATTAACCCTGTATTTTGCCATCTGAACTAGTCTCTTCCCAACAGATTATTTGTTTCTTTTATTTGACTTTTTCCAGTCCCATTGGTGTGCCTAGGATTGTTTTTGTGGGGGGGGGGGGGGGTAGGTGGTGGGAAGCTTAAATTTTCCAATCCCCTCCCCTAATCGAAAATGTTTGAAGCCAAAAAATTATGCTCATGTAGTTAAAAATCACCTTATATCACCTGATATCACAAACTATCGCCCTTCACTTCATCATCGAGGCCCTCCCTCTTCACCTTCATGCCCCTATCTTCCCCCTCCCATTTCAAGATACGTCACTCATTCGAGCACTGATTGCACTGTTTTACTACCAAATGGTGGACTCCTACCCTACCTGTAGTTTTTTAAGCTGTTAAATTTTATTTTTATTTATTTATTGGTTCTGTATACTGGGTGGACTCAGTCTGGAGCAGAAAATGATAAATTTTGTTCCCGCTGTTATGATTGTTGTTATCATTGTTATGCATCACACTGACTCAGATTCTGATCAATTGTATACAATATAAACTTGGTTTGTTTCCTTATTTTTATTCATTCACTTAAATCACTTGCTTACTATATATTATAGTAAGTGAAAATACTTTGGAGGACAATGTACTGGTAGTATCATGCACCTTAACAGAATTATCTTGTTACTACTAAGCAAAAATCACTTTTTATACATAGAGAAATGATAAAATGTATAAAATCACTTTTTATACATTTCATGTATGTTATTTCATTTTGTTTATTTTCTGATAACAATCTGCTTTACTATCAATTTACCACTTTATAATCTGGTTGGAATAGTTTAAATACTTATCCTGTATAGTCCAATTTCAAATGTTTGTAATGGAGGATTATGTGCTGAAACATCTGGGAGCAAAGTATTTTCCTATTTAATATTACATTATAAATTTACTACTACAGCTACTATAGTATAGTTAATTGTTAATATGATCAATCTTTCCATTTAAAAAAAGTCTTTGTTTTTTTTTCTAATAACATATTTGTTAACTAATATTTGAGCGATTCAGGATCTTGTAGTCAATAACTTTTTTCTCTTAGGATGATGCATAAAGTAGGAAGCCTGAAAAACTACAGAACCTGTATTGATTACTGTTGTAATGGTTTTCTGACGTTGTCAAGGGCTCAGTCCACACTTCATCCTCTGCTAGTAAATTAAGAACAACCATGTTGCCTATAGATTGGGTGTTTGGGCCACCTCTGAATGCAGAAACAATGAGTTGTCCATTCTTCACAATTTTTGTTGAAATAGTTTTACCACTAGTTGATAGTGATGTAAACTGGAAGACATAGATACCTGGATGTTGGCAGACAAACTTGCCTGTTTCTTTATTGTAGTGACTCCCCAAGTTGGTAATTATTGTTGGGTATTTTATTGGACTAAGTGGTAGACGACCTGGGTTTGTGTCAAAAGTAACTGAGAATGCAGATTTTGGCTGATTGTTTGTGGTAGCTTGTTCACCTTTCTCCCCTCGTTCCCCTTTCTCACCAGTTCCTGGCAATCCAGTTGGTCCCATTTTTCCAGGAACTCCTTGTTTTCCATTGTTTCCTTTCAGTCCAACATCTCCTTTTAGGCCTTTTGGACCAGGAACCCCTTGTCTTCCATCTAATCCTTGGCTTCCCTTTTCCCCTTTCACTCCAGCATCTCCTTTCATGCCTATCGGACCAGGGGCACCATGGTTGCCAGGAATTCCAGGAATCCCTGCTGCAGAATTACAACAACCACTACAATCTTTGGTGTCAAGTTGAGCAATTGATTGGACGATACAGATAATGGTGAGTTGTATGGCAATTGCAAGATACATAATGATTCTGAAATTTAATAAAATAAAGTTTTATATTAGTAGATTTGTTCATCTGATTTTTTTAACTACAAAAAGAGAACATTTGTCTCCATTTCATATGGTTGCAGTATTATCAGCAAAGTACAAAGTAGCTATAGGTGCCTGTATCAACAACAAGTGTTAATGGCAGTAACAACAATGGCAGATGAGCTCCTCTGACTCAATTGCGAAACATGTTTAGTTAAAAATTTGTTTCCATATATCATTTGTTTATTGTATTATGATTAGTTAAAAAATAAATTGGGATAAAATAGTTGAAAATTTTAGGAAGAAAACAAGAAGTGAAATTTAACATCGTAGTTGTATCGAAAACGAGGGAAAACATGTTTTTCAGCTAGTAGCTTGGTAATTTTTAAAAGAACTCATTAATACTCATGTTTCCATCTTGTCTGTCCTGGCTTCGCGATAATTGAATGTGTAGGGGGTGAGGGAGCAAAACAGTAAAATTCTTATGTTAAAATCAGTGGCAGATTGAGGGGGTGGGGGGAGGTTGAAACAAGGGAAAACATGTTTTTTAGTAGCTTGGTAATTTTTAAGAGAACTCATTAATATTTATGATTCCATCCTGTCTGTCCTGACTGCGATAATTGAATGTGTGCTGAGGGTGTGAGGGAGCAAAACAGTAAAATTCTTATGTTAAAATCAGTGGCGGATTGAGGGGGGGGGGGCGGAAGGTTGCAGGCCAGCCAGCCCATCCCCCCTTCCCTCCACACATTCTAAATTTATTTTTTAAAAATGGATTAAAAAAAGGAAAATTATTGAATTCTGAGAATGCCATTTCCGGCCATCTGAGGTGCCATGGCACAAATGTTCTTACCTCAGCCCTAAACATGGTGGTGCTGAAGTGGTTTAGACCCTCATCTGTGAAAGTCTCTGGGCCCATGCTATTTGGATATAGATCCACCACTGTAAATCCCTGTAGATTAAGGTTATCTCGCTAGATCTACCTACTGCTGTACAGACTGAGACTTAAGAGGCCTGCTGGTAGCCTGGTCTGGTCAAAAGTTGCATTGAGTTGCTGTAGTACTAATAGACTAGGGCATACCCAACAATAAATCCCTTTTGTTACAAAGCTTGTCAGTTACACTGGGCCTGACTAACTCGATTCCAAAGTCTCAGTACAGATTATTAGTCTCTCCTTAATAATTAAGTACTAGGATAAGTCTTGAAGGTTTGCATGGCAAATCGCATTAATAAAATAATAAAAATTGCCTCGTCCATCACAACAGCTACAAATTCTTATATCCTCTAGGTAGGCTGAATACTCAGCTATGCCGAAAAGTTAGATACTGTAGGAGAAGGCTAAAGTAGACCCTACGTGTGTGTTGGTGTTGGTGACAAAAGCCGTGCTTTCAGTCTTTCCCTCCGTCTTTATCTGTAAGCTGCAATTCCATTTTGGTCAAACGTATATAGGTCTATGCACTTACAGCCTTTCTCTCTTGCCTTTTTTACATTTATATATATTTTCGTACTGATTGAGAAAGAATGTCTTGTGGTCCTATTTAGAAACGACGACAGCCAAATTATTTCTCTCGTGTGGTATTTCCCCGTTGGCCGTTGAGAGATTGCCCAGAACAATTGAACCACGTAACTGATTCCCCAGATTGCTGCATAATTACTCAAACAGAAAGTGGGTTCTACTTTAATTTAATATAAAAATGAGGCATTTTCGTAAAATAAACCCTTATAAATGAAAAGGTGAAATAAATTTATGTAAGAAATTTGTAAAATGAATGTATTTATTCAGCAGTTATCCAATGTGAGATAAGATACACTTTATTGCTCCAAGTCGGAAATTCAGTTCTTGCATTAAAATACAATTGACAGTTAAACAATTAAAAGAATGATCAAATAGGAATAAGAATTTTCCTATGTTAAAACACCGTGTAATTTGAGTAATGCCACCACTTGCATTTCGGGACCCAGTTTGCAGCGCTTGTTCTGCACTATCATGCTCCAAACCCCTGTGAAATTCTTATCAATAAGGTGCAAACTGACTGTTCTATATATATTTTAATAGAAATTTTAAACCCGGAGTCCCCCTTTAAAGAATAAGAAATAGTTTTTGAGAACAGTACATTATAATCCACCATTATTATTATTATTAACTGAAAAATAGCTAAATTTAGACTAAGAAATTATCTTTTAATGAAATAATATATATGATAATTGAAAAATAGCCTATAAATTACTTCCAAAAATGACCATGAATTAAAATAGGTTTCCCAGACAACAAAATAAGAGCTATAAAAGATATAGCAAAAGAGAAGAGAAATGAATCAAAAATTTATTTTCATGTTTTTTTTGTTTTTTTTTTGGTGAGTAACGACATTATGGCAATGAGGAAAAGCTTTATGTAAGTCTAGTTACTAAGTGAAAATATTTCTTATTCTACTTACCAAAGAGGCCCTTTGATTACCCTCTTGTGTGCTGCAGCTTAGACTTTTTCAAATAGGGTGGTGTTGCTGAAAGAACTTACCAAGTCCTTTGGTTGTTTCGTGTGATGTTGCTGAGAGAACTTCTGTGTTCTTGTGTAATATGTTTCTGCGGGAACTTCTGTATAGGGTGTAATTTACTTGTTTGATGTTGCTGTAGCTCTGACTTCTATACGAATGAACCTTCGTTTGTTTATATTAGGTTTATAATATACAACCTTTTTTTCGCTTGCATGAATGTTTATGTAATCTATCTTCAAAGTCACAGGCAATAAATGAGGGATCAACAACTTTGTTATTGAATTCTAAAACCCATATTTTGTAAAATTAAGAACATTAACCTGTTTAATGATAAAGATAACAGACATGTCGGGATGTTAACAAAGCCAAGCAACATCCGGTGATGTCATGATAAGATCAATTGCCTTTCTTAATCGTTTTAACTCTCCATCTTGAAACTTTCATTAAATTTCATCCAATAGGATTGAAAGTCGTAGATGTCCCATAGTGTAATGGAATTCAACCGCCAGTATTGCTAACTCCTCCCCATTTCAGCTGCATGTTAAGTCACTGGTTAAATACTGAATTACATTTTAAGCTGTGTAATTGGCCATAAGGGATGTAGGCTGTAGTATTTTGTGTTTATTTTACCTTTTTTGTAGAAATTTTGTTTTTCAACTAGATAATGAACTCAACTCTTCAATTTGAGACCCTTCTATACCAGATTGTCACAACACGCGAGTTGGCTAAACATACACACTCCATCATAATTAAGGCCAACTCAGACAGCGTCGGCCGACGCAGCCTGACCCGATTCATTTGAGACCCTTCTATACCAGATTGTCACAACACGCGAGTTGGCTAAACATACACACTCCATCATAATTAAGGCCAACTCAGACAGCGTCGGCCGACGCAGCCTGACCCGATTCATTGTCGTGGACAGGCGCTGCTCTGTGTGGCGACATTGCTCGCATTTCTCTCCTAACTGTTGCTCTGCCTTTAGTGTAGTTTTATTGCGTTTGTCTGGACTGATTTTCTTGATTGTCAGTGATAATTATGGTTTTTAAATACCTTTTTTATAAAATTTTTATGTTCTTGACGTTTTTGATGTTTCTGATGATTACAATGTGTTTTGAAGCTGAAAATAAAACCAGACTGTGCTACTCACCTGATGAATTGCACGCCATTGGACCTCAACCACTCCCGATACTGCTTAACATACCTGGCATACCTGTCGAATTGAAACGGCGTAAGCGGGGTAGAGCCGGTGGAATCAGGAAGAGACTTAAAGCTAGGAAGTACAAACCTTACGTTCCGTCAATGATTATCGGAAATGTTCAGGCTATATCTAACAAAGTGGAAGAACTACGAGCAAACGTGATATATCAACACGATTTTCGAAAGGTTAGTGTTATGTCTTTCACCGAAACATGGCTGACAGAGGCTCATGCCGATAAACATGTAGATATTAAGGGATTTTAAATTATAAGAGGGGACAGAACAGCAGAGTCTGGCAAGGACAAAGGAGGTGGTGTTTGTTTATATGTAAACAAGTGTTACTGTCACCCTAACAATGTTATTCGCAAGCTTCATCGATGCACCACAAATTGTGAAATACTCGTCACTAGTTTGAGGCCATATTACCTGCCCCGAGAATTTTCGCATGTTATAATCATAACTGTGTATATTCCTCATAGAAATCTTTCCAAAAAAGCATCATGTGAAATATTTGATGTCATCAGTGATATTGAAAATGCTGCCCCCGATAGCTTCATCATTATTAATGGTTACTTTAACCATTGTTCTTTAAAACAGAGTTCAACATATTTCTACCAACATGTTACATGTTGTACGTGGGGCAATAACATTCTAGATTTATGCTATTCAAATGTGAAAAATGCATATGTGTCGTTGGTGTTGCCCAACTTTGGATTATCAGATCACAATCTCATAAAACTTTGTCCGAAATACTTACCTCTAGTTCAACGCAGCAAGCCAAAGAAAGTTGCTGTCAAGAAATGGACACACGAGTCAATTGAATGTCTTAAGGGAGCATTTGAGTGCACAAATTGGGATGTGTTTAAAACATCTGCTACTGGCTTAAACGAACTGGCTGAATCAGTAACTGACTATATTAATTTTTGTGTAAACAGTATTATTTCAACTAAAGTTGTTAAGGTTTATTCAAATAATAAACCATGGATCACTTAAAGGATGTTAAAAAATTATTAATAAGAAAAAGGGGGCTTTTGGTAGAGGAAACTTAGATGAATTGAAAGCAATTCAGAAAGAACTCAAATGTGCAATTCGTAAAGAAAAAATTAAATATAAGAAAAATATATCACATGATGAAAAAGCTTAACAGCAAGATGTATTGTCATTAGTAAACTTAGGTCTTTTAATGTGTGCAGTAAAATTTTAGGTATCTTTTATAATTCTGTAATTTTAAGTGTCTGGAGCTATTGTATTGTGGGTTGGGGAGGAAATATATCTAACTGTGACAAGGAAAGAATCAATCGTCTGATCCGAAAGGTTGAGAGAGTGACCGGTGTGTGTTACCTGTCGGCAGACTCAGTGTAACACTACCGGTTAGAGAAGGTGTTTCAGAGCATCATTGAAGACGTGACCCATCCCCTTCACTCTGAAATTATTGACTCAAAGATTGCTCGGAGTTGTAGACTGAGGCTGCCGGCAGCGCGCACATGCCGCTACTCTTCCTCATTCGTTCCCCAAGGTGTCAGAGCTTTTAACAAAACTTTTAAAAGATGAAATACATCTTTGCAGTCGTCTGTGGACTTTTTATCTTGTGGGTATTGAACAGGTGTATAAATAACCATGTTGCCTAAATATACTTTAACTAATTTGACATTAATTAGTTTTTTTTTCTAGAAGAGTCATCCCATGTGCATTTATTGTTTAATCCTTGTGCTCCTAAAAACACCAGAAAAAAAAACATGTTTTTCTAGTCAGACATTGTTGTTACATTGTTGAAACACACTCAAATCTGTCTATATATCATTACTAGAATATGTATTAGGAAATACAGTGCACTCTCTAGTATTTGTTTTCAATTACTCTCTTTGTGGACAATGTAAAGTGCATAGTTAACAGGGGCAGATCAAAAAATGTCCAAAAGGGGAGGGGGGTGCGGAAGGGGGTGCCGAAAGTTGGGCCGATTGAGACAACACTGTCGTTAGGAGTCCGGGGTCATGCCCCTGTGAAATTTATGTGTTCTAGATGCCCGAACATAACATTTGAGGCATTCTGGGCTATCATCTTTTTCTTTTTCTCTCTTTTTTTCATTTTTTTCTTTCTGTTTTTTTACCTCCCTAAATACGCCCCTGGTTAATCAATCACAAAGTGAATACGTACAATGTGTATTGGAATTATTATTACTGTATTTTACTATTGAAATGATTTGCTAAATATGTATCCTTAGGATTAAAAGTTGCGATAGAAAAGTTTCCAAATGATTTGTTTACTGGAACTTGGCCAGCATCTTGCAGAGTGTAACTTTCGGCAACCAATTACAAGAAGAGGGTCACACCACCACAAGAAGAGGGTCACACCACCACTGCAACTGGAACTATATCCTTTTTAATTAATAGTACAGTATCAGTGGTTTTATGTTTTTTTTTTAAATTCTAAAGTCATCTAACATTTAAATAGAATCATACTCAGGGGCAGACCCAGAATTTTTCAAACAGGGGTGGGGCACGTTTTGGTATGTAATTGGCAAAATGGGGTGGAATTGGGAACATTCTCCCTGTGGCCCATTCAATTTCATCTTTCCCTAATATATTAATAATTCATTTTCATATAAAATTGACAGGATTTTTCATTTAAACATTATATAAAATTGTTCAGTTATTGTATATAAGTACAAATATAATTTGAGTATAGAGGCCGGGTATTCAACCTTTTTAATTGGGTGGCCAGTTCCAATCTTGTGAGACACGCCCATTTCTCTTTCTAATAAATGCCTAATTAATCATGGAGGTATAAAAATAAATAAATTTTATACCTCCATTTTATAATGTAGCCTTTGTTTTCCAACATTAACGTGTAAAAATTAGGGAATGCAGTAGCATAATGTAAGTCCTAAGTAGCTAAAAAAAACCAAGAATAGCACCAGAAATTCCTGAATGAAGAGTCCCAATTTACTCCAAAAGGCCCACAATTACCTCAGCCCCACCATGGTTGGGATTGAGGTAAGCCAATTTTTTTACCCGGAAATGCACTCTTATACTGTAAAAATATGTTTTCAAAGCATTGATTTCAACAGCATTACATGCCCCCAAGCTGACCTGGATCAGCTGCTGGCGCCACTAATTGTTAGAAAACACATCATATTAGCGTCCCCTCACCTTATCAGTCTTCCCCCTCTTTATGTCAATACTTTACGTCACAGATTGTAAATACATTTATTTTGATTTTTTTAATAATTTATTTAATGAAAAAAAAAATGCGTACAAATTTGTGTCCTCATGTCTAGTTGCAAGGAAGCATGATTTTTCTTAATATTATATTTCTATATATATAGAGGATGACAACACTGTCAATATAATCATTTTAAAAAGGAACAACTAGATTAAAAGACAAAATAAAACAAGTTTCTACAGCATAAATGCTACAGCTACTCATCTGTTGAAACCTTAAATTGATGGCTCACATCTTGATAAGTTACAGGTTGATATCTGGAGGAGAATTTGGTACCAAACTATTTTTTCCGGCCAAGTGAAAAATATAGTTATTTTCTCATTCAATTTTTTAAAGAAAAAATGTTTAGTAAGCTCTTTAATTGCATTCAGCTTTTGCAGATTAAATCACAAATCTGATTTCCCCCCCCCCCCCGGATGAAAAGTAGGTAGCAGTTTGAATACCTACCGTATTAATAGGTTTAACATTATGGTAGTATGCAGTATACTTCCTTAAAGGAGCTAAGTAGGTACTTCAAGTGTTTGTTGTAAGTTGTAATTTGTAAACCACATCCTGTTTTTCAATGTACCATGATATGTTTTTTGTTTTGGGTTTTTTTTTGTATCATTTTAAAAATATATAGTAAAATTTTCCACCAAGACTCCAAGCTAATACCAATGTGACATATTCATGCCTCACTACTACAAGCTCTTGAACGTATCTTGTATAATGTGATGTTATTTGAGTATAACAGAAGCAAAAGCATAATATACAGGTTTATATGTAATTAGTGAATGCCAGTAAAATGCCTTTTTGCTCACACTGCATTTTGATCATGGATAGAGGGAGCACTCAAACTCTAACATTAAGAATATAATAATGCAGATTTGAGTTACAGCTGGTTAGATGCACTGTACACTCTGAACAAAATATGAATATTTAAAGAAATTTAATCTTTAAAATGTTAATTAAGGGATAGATACAATATACAATGTATTGATTATAATGTTGATAATAATCAACAGCATCAATAAAACTGATAATACTAATAATAGATGAAATGATTTTGAAGTATTTACCAAGTACATTGTAAATATTGTTTGAAATGTCCACTAATTCTCAAACTAACAAGTTTTCTAAAAATGTTTTCCAACAGTTTTTTAAATTTACTTTTTAACTTCTTAATGACTTAAAGGGTCACTGCATTCAAAATATAATATTAATTATAATTATTATATTGTATGTACAGATAACCGGACTTCTGCAGATTTGTACATGCTTATTGCATTATGTAATAAAAATTTAATTTATACATAATTAGCAAAATTATCTTATTTTGAAAACCAAAACATTTTATTTTTTTATCCTATCTTAAACATTTGTCATTGCCACTGCATTCAAAACATAAAATTAATTATTATTATTATTATATTGTACATAGAGATAACTGGATTTTTGCATGTTTCATGCTCATTAGGTTATTTAATAAAAATGTAATTTATACATTATTAGCAAAATAATCTTAATTAAATTATTACATTTCCTGAAAACCGAAACATTTTATTTCATAAGATCCTATCTTCACTAAATGTCATCTATGTTTGATAATTTTTTTTGTTTTTTTTTGTTTTGTTTTGTTTTATTTTATTTTATTTTTTTTTTGCTTTCCATTTTAGTAGCAATAATAGATGACTATTACTTTTTGTATGATATTTGTAAATATAAACATTTCTCTTTGGAACTGATCAATGTGACTGTTCTTGTTGGTTTTTTTTTCATGTATTTTGTGATAATAATAATAATAATAATAATAATAATAATAATAATAATAATAATAATAATAAAATATTTATAATGCACTAATTTCAAATAAATGATCAAAAGCGCAGAGTTGCCAATGACGATGTAGTAACAACATAAGGTGATTGTGGCAGCCTGTGTCAGTGGTAAGGACAATATGATGATGATAGAATTATGGGTAATATCCATGATGATGGTGATTGAATTGATGACTTCGATGATGTTGGTGAGGGGTGATGATAATGAAAAAGATATTCATAATGATGATAATGTTGATGGTGTGGGGAGATGATGATAAGGATCATATTCATGATGATGGAGATTGATTTTAATGACAACAATGTTCATGATGATGACATGGAAGATAATGACAAGAATATTCATCTTGATAATGGCAAAAATGTTTGTTAGTGATGATGATTATAATAATGCTGATGAAAAAATATCATAATGAATACCCATCACATCACTCAACAAATTAATTTGAGTCTGGGAAAAAGAACATTATGTACATAAACTTCTATTTTATTACTTACCTAAGTAATAGTTTCAGACTGACTTGCACGCAGACAAATCACAGGGGCAGATCAAGAGATGTCCAAAATGGGGGGGCGATCGAGATAACAGTATCTAGGGGGTTCGAGGCATGCCCTCGCGAAATTTCTGTGTTCAAGATGAAAAAATAACTTCTGAGGCCTTTTTGAGGGAACGATTTTTTTTTTTCTTTATCTTTATCTTTTTTCTTTTTTTTCGACTTTCCAAAAGGGGTGGTCGGGGCCGGCACTCTAAATCCGCCCCTGCATGATTGACCAAGATGATTTGTAAAAAATTCAAAACTTTCACCTGATCGTACAAGGTGTCTGCTACAAATGTTCAAAAACAAAACTTTTTCATCGTAATTGAACGACTAACAAATGCTACAGCCACATGGTTGATTAATTTATAAAACATTCAAATTATTAATTATGTTTAAAAACAAAACATTTTCATTGTAATTAAACAGTTATTAAAATATTATGGGACCAAAAGATTGGTAGTTTATTAAAAGAAAAACCTTTAACTGTCCTACGGTATGAAAGTAAGTGCAGAGGGGAACAGTAGACGCACACACATATAATGTGAAGGAGATAACTTTACCATAAGTGAATATGTAAATATAGTAAATATCAACAATATACATGCTTGAAGTATTGGGTCGTTGAAAGAAGCTCTAAAGCTTATAATGACCTATCTAATTCAGAAGTCGCAAATACAGATTGTAAAATTGGGTGGAGTGGTTTGGGATAATTGCTAACTTGATTGAGGGCGCTGTTATACCGGCGAATGAAAACGAGGCTATCTACTGCATGCTCTGATAACCGGTCAGTCTGTAAGGAAAATGGCCATGTTAGCAAGTAAAGTACCTCTATTTGCACCCTCAGGGTAAGCGTTTATGAACTATAATTACAAACTTTATAGGCCTAATATAAACCAAAAAATATATATTAGTTTAATTTGTGATCTTATATCGATTTTCATCGGAAATTTTACTGTCTGTAGGGCCTTGCAACGCTGCCTAGACTAGGCCTAGGCTTCTTTTCTATAGGCCTAGGCCGTAGAGTAGAGAGGCCTAGACCTCAATACTTGTGTAGGCTAGGCCTAGACTGTGTTGTAGTATTTTAGTCAAGGCCCTAGGCCTAGTCCCTTTCGTATGCTAGGCCTAGACTCTTTGTTGCAAGAACGTGATCGATTGGTCTAACCTAGTTCTAATCTTAGTACTCTAAAGGCCTGTTCATACTTGCAACGATAACGATAAAATTGTTCATATAAAAAATAAAAGAAATAACAGGAGTTTTTACATTAGGACGATTCGATAACGATTTATCATGTATACGATACCAAAATATTTAGACATATCATTTGAAATGACGTCATAATCATGGAAAAAACGATAAAATCATTGTTACTACTACGATTTTTGATTTTTTCGTTTTTCAGTGATTACAACATTATTTCAATTGTGAGGTCTCACTACAAAATGAGTCTCATCATTAGAAAATCAAAAACTGAGTTTATATTACATTTTGGTAGATCACATTATAAGCTTTAATTTGGTCTTTGAATGGCTTCCCTAGGATAAATAGATCCAGAGATGTGAGCATTTAAAGTTTAGGTGTACTAGAACCAGGTTTTGAGAAAATCAATAGGACTAGAATTAAAGAATATGCGAAGAGAACACTGTTTTAGTAAGAAAATTCACTTAAAAAGTACACAATCATAAAATATAAGTATCAAATTAAGTTTTGTAAAAATGTTGAAATCTATATATGATTTCACCAAGGATGCGTCTCATTTCGTGGTGAGACCTCACAATTGGTATGTGAAATTATTTTTTATTGTATACACGATGAGTCGTTATCGAATTGTCCTCATGTAAAAACTTATTTCTTTTATTTTCCATATGAAAAATTGCTTTTTAGCTTTTTATCGTTATCGTTGCAAGTATAAACAGGCCGTAAGTCACTGTCAGACAATTGATTGGAGTCGCACTCTAGCTAGGCTAGGCCTCCCTACCTAGGTAGCCTAGGCCTGGCCTAGGCCTACAGGCTTACATACAGTTTAGGCCTAAGCTAGCGTAGGCCTACACATTATTTTTGTTATTTTATTTTATAGAATAATGGTAAAACAAAATCTATTGAGAGCTAGGCCTAGACTAAGGATAAGGACACTTTTGAGTCCCAGACTTTAAAATAATGCCTGCACAAAGTCCTGTCCCCCCTGCAAAAATTAGGCCTAAGCCTACAGTACCTATGCCCCTACAGGCCTAAGCAAACTAGACCGGACTCTAGCCCGTCCACTTATTTTTTGTGTGGAACACAAAAAAAATCAAATTTCAGTCTTATTTTACATTTTGTTCCTGCTTAGGAATATCTAAATTCAGTTAAACTAGAAATTCCGTATATTTATAAATCTTTATAACATTATACAAAAATTAGATTTTTCTTAACAACTGAAATTTTGCCGGGAATGGGGCTTTCCCGTTTTTATGTGTAACAACACAACCTAAATTGAGGTAAGGCTAGGCCTAGCCTAGCAGTGTTGGATAGGCTAATGTTGTCGGCGCCTACTATTTTTCTTCGCAGACCTGTTGCAAAATCAAACATGAAAAATTTATCCGCATTTATTTTTTGTGTGGAACACAAAAAATCAAATTTCAGTCTTATTTTATATTTTGTTCCTGTTTAGGAATATCTAAATTCAGTTAAACTAGCAATTCCATATTATTATTATATTTATAAATCTTTATAACATTATACAAAAATTAGATTTTTCTTAACTGAAATTTTGCCGGGAATGTGGCTTTAATACGAACTAAAACCTAAAGTATTAAAAACAGAAATCAATAAAAAAAAAGATATAGGTACAAATTAAATAAAGGCTTAGCAGCAGTAACTGATGAGATACTGTAAGATGATTATATTTTCTGTCTGTAGAGCCATGCAAGACCACACAGATGCAAAAATTTTATAAGTATCACCACACAAGAGTAGATAGGCCTTCTTAATTAAAAAACTTATATATTATTTGCCTTTAATTTTTTCTTTCTTTAATATGATATAATTCAATGAAATTAAAAGTTATTTTCAATAAATTTTAATTGTAAATATTTGATTATTTAAGAATCTAAATGTTATAACTTTGATGTTTCATATTTTATTAGTTTTGTAGAATTTAAATGTTTTTTTCTAAATAATTTTTACAATTTTAAGATGTTTTTTTGTCTTTTGTATTTGTGTTTATTCGTATTAAATGTATTTTCATGTAATTCAGTGGTTATAATGCCAGTTGAGAAATTATGTTTATGTACTGTTAGCGATAATTGTTGAAATTCTGATTAAGATTGATTAATAATATTGTGACAGGTTTCCCTACCTTAGTTCAGAAAGTTGATACTACATTTCTGCACTGGTGAACACTCTCTGCTCTTAAATCTTAACACCAAAAATAATTTGTAGGTCTGTCAATGAAATTCTCTGAAGGAAAATTGAGATGCTCATATATTTTGGTATTCATTCAAGAAATAATGTGTAATGTTAGTGAATCTAAATAATACTGTACAGTACTGTACTGTAGAAGATATTTTCATTTAGACAAAGTCAGATGTATCACATTACATTTATGAAACATATTAATTTTCTTGATACAGGGTGCAAGTTCGTAACATGGCCACACTTAAAGAGAGTAAGTACAGATGAGTAAAGACAAAAATAATTACATTAGAAAGAGGATTTATCTTCTTTGTAAATGGTTAAATGCTAAAAGTTTTCTACATATCATCATCATATACGTTTTGAGTCCATTTTGATAATGGGTTGGTTTTTTTTTTCCTTTCATAAATTTTTAAAATACTATTATTGTTATTACTTTTTAATTAATTGTTATCATTACAGGGGTTTCCCTTAAGGTTTTTTTTAACTAGCCAAGTGGACCAGTAAATTAATATTTTTACTGGTCCTCAATCCCTTTCACTAGCCACTATCTTGCCAACTTCGGAAGGCCCAAATACCATA